ACCACACTTTGCCCACTCCACCTGACACATTCACAGTTAAAGAATCACAATTTTTAGCTGCCAAGGTAGCCTAGGTGTGGCTACTGTCACGTGGTGTGGCTACTGTCACGTGGTATGGCTTCTGTCACGTGGTGTGACTACTGTCACGTGGTGTGGCTACTGTCACGTGGTGTGGCTACTGTCACGTGGTGTGGCTACTGTCACGTGGTGTTGCTACTGCCCCGTGGTGTGGCTACTATCACGTGGTGTCCCTACTGTCACGTGGTGTGGCGATTGTCACGTGGTGTGGCTACTGTCACGTGGTGTGGTTACTGTCACGCGGTGTGGCTACTGTCACGTGGTGTGGCCACTGACACGTGGTGTGGCTACTGTCGCGTGGTGTGACGACTGCCACGTGGTGTGGCTACTGTCACGTGGTGTGGCTACTGTCACGTGGTGTGACGGCTGTCACGAATTCTCACAGTAATGTTGTCAGTTCTCCTATAGCCGATGGCAGTGCCAAACGATGTGTGACAGACGGCAAACCGGCTTCAGTTTTATGAAGACATAGCGTAACCTAGTCAATGTCATGTCACTGTCTTCTGTGACACTGAACAGGAAATTCTCGGAACAAATTAATCCAATAACTAAGACATCTCAAATGTGAACAAAACAGTCCAATAACTAAGACATCTCCATTGTGAACAAAACAATCCAATAACTTCAAATGTGTGGAAAAAAAAAAGTAGAATAACTAAGACATCTTAGATGTGAACACAACAATCCAATAACTAAGACATCTTAGATGTGAACAAAACAATCCAATAACTAAGACATCTCAGGTGTGAACAAAACCATTTAATAACTAAGATTATCTTAGATGTGAACAAACCAATCCAATAACTAAGACATCTCAAATATGAACAAAACAATCCAATAACTAAGACATCTCAGGTGTGAACAAAACCATTTAATAACTAAGATTATCTTAGATGTGAACAAACCAATCCAATAACTAAGACATCTCAAATATGAACAAAACAATCCAATAACTAAGACATAAACAAGACCTCTCAGATGTCAACACCAAAATCTAATAACTAAGACAAAACAACAAAATAAACTAAATATCTTAGATGTGAACCAAACAAGCAAATAAACAAGACATCGTGGACGTGGACCAAACAACCAAATAAACAAGACATCTTCTATGTGAACACAACAACCAAATAAACAAGACATCTTCTATTTCAATAAAACAAGCAAAAAAAAAACAAGACATCGAAGATGTGAACACAACAACCAGATAAATAAGACATTTTCTATGTGAACATAACAAGCAAATAAACAAGACATCGTCTATGTAAACACAACAACCAAATAAATAAGACATCTTCTATGTGAACACAACAAACAAATAAACAAGACATCTTCTATGTGAACACAACAAGCAAATAAACAAGACATCTTCTATGTGAACACAACAAGCAAATAAACAAGACATCTTTTATGTGAACATAACAAGCAAATAAACAAGACATCTTCTATGTGAACATAACAAGCAAATAAACAAGACATCTTCTATGTGAACATAACAAGCAAATAAACAAGACATCTTCTATGTGAACATAACAAGCAAATAAACAAGACATCTTCTATGTGAACATAACAATCAAATAAACAAGACATCTTCTATATGAACATAACAAGCAAATAAACAAGACATCTTTTATGTGAACATAACAATCAAATAAACAAGACATCTTCTATGTGAACATAACAAGCTAATAAACAAGACATCTTCTATGTGAACACAACAAGCAAATAAACAAGACATCTTTTATGTGAACATAACAATCAAATATACAAGACATCTTCTATGTGAACATAACAAACAAAAAAACAAGACGTCTTCTATGTGAACATAACAAACAAATAAACAAGACAACGTGGATGTGAACACAACAACCAGATAACTAAGACATTTTCTATGTGAACATAACAAGCAAATAGACAATACATCTTCTATGTGAACACAACAAGCAAATAAACAAGACGTCTTCTATGTGAACATAACAAACAAATAAACAAGACATCTTATATGTGAACACAACAAGCAAATAAACAAGACATCTTCTATGTGAACACAAGAAGCAAATAAACAAGACATCTTCTATGTGAACATAACAAACAAATAAACAAGACATCTTCTATGTGAACATAACCACACAAAAAAAAATAAACAAGACATCTTCTATGTGAACATAACAAACAAATAAACAAGACATCTTCTATGTGAACACAACAAGCAAATAAAAAAGACACCTTCTATGTGAACATAACAAGCAAATAAACAAGACATCTTCTATGTGAACACAACAAGCAAATAAACATGACATCTTAGATGTGATCACAACAGTTTAATAAACAAAATCTGGTCTTTTGACATCAAGATGGCGGGTAACCTCGACTCTTCTCGACTTGTCCCCATGTATGAGTACACCACCTGAATTGTGTGGTTACTTGTAAAGTTGTACTACTTGTCCCCATGTATGAGTACACCACCTGAATTGTGTGGTTACTTGTAAAGTTGTACTACTTGTCCCCAAGTATGAGGACACCACCTGAATTGTGTGGTTACTTGTAACGTTGTACCACTTGTCCCCAAGTATGAGGACACCACCTGAATTGTGTGGTTACTTGTAACGTTGTACCACTTTTCCCCAAGTATGAGGACACCACCTGAATTGTGTGGTTACTTGTAACGTTGTACCACACTATAAGTGTCGATTTTGTCTAAATGCTGACATCACTCAGTAAATATCGATTTGTCTAAATGATGACATCACTCAGTGTCAATTTGTCCTATTTCCAACCTTTATAAATATCGATTTGTCTGACAATTCACATTAATCAGTGAATATCCATTTGTCTAAATGCTGACATAACTCAGTATCGATTTGTCGAAATGCTGACATCACTTAGTATCGATTTGTCGAAATGCTGACATCACTTAGTATCGATTTGTCGAAATGCTGACATCACTTAGTATCGATTTGTCGAAATGCTGACATCACTTAGTATCGATTTGTCGAAATGCTGACATCACTTAGTATCGATTTGTCGAAATGCTGGCATCACTTAGTATCGATTTGTCGAATGCTGACATCACTTAGTATTGATTTGTCGAAATGCTGGCATCACTTATGATCGATTTGTCAAAATCTTGGCATCACTTAGTATCGATTTTTCGAAATGCTGGCATCACTTAGTATCGATTTGTCGAAATGCTGGCATCACTTATTATCGATGTGTCTTAATGCTGACATCACTGTGTCGATTTGTCAAAATGTTGGCATCACTTAGTATCGATTTGTCTAAATGCTGGCATCACTTATGATCGATTTGTCTAAATGCTGGCATCACTTAGTATCGATTTGTCGAAATGCTGACATCACTGTATCGATTTGTCGAAATGCTGGCATCACTTAGTATCGATTTGTCGAAATGCTGGCATCACTTAGTATCGATTTGTCGAAATGCTGGCATCACTTAGTATCGATTTGTCAAAATGCTGGCATCACTTATTATCGATTTGTCGAAATACTGACAGCACTCAGTAAGTATCGATGTGTCAAAATGCTGGCATCACACAATATCGATTTGTCGAAATGCTAACATCATTTAGTATTGATTTCTCAAAATGCTGGCATCACTCAGTGAGCATCTTTTTGTCTAAATAATGACATTAGTCAGTGAATATCGGTTTGTTTAAATAATGACACTAGTCAGTGAACATCGATTTGTCTAAATAATGACATTAGTCAGTGAACATCGATTTGTCTAAATAATGACATTAGTCAGTGAACATCGATTTGTCTAAATAATGACATTAGTTAGTGAATATCGATTTGTCTAAATAATGACATTAGTCAGTGAACATCGATTTGTCTAAATAATGACATTAGTCAGTGAACATCGATTTGTCTAAATAATGACATTAGTTAGTGAATATCGATTTGTCTAAATAATGACATTTGTTAGTGAATATCGATTTGTCTAAATAATGACATTAGTTAGTGAATATCGATTAGTCTAAATAATGACATTAGTCAGTGAATATCGATTTGTCTAAATAAGGACAACACTTAGTGAGCGGGAACCTTGACCTTTCAACTCATAGTCAAGGTTTGAATTATAAGATCCCACCCTCATTACGTGACATCGCTATGTATGGGCAGCACCCCCACACATCCCCACATCACCTCCACCCCACCAAAGACCTTCTGCCAGATGTTGGTTTCATGTGTCCCCACCAACAAATGTGCACACCGCACACGTCACGGAGCCAGCAGCAGAAACACAACACAAAGGAGAGGAGCGAGAAACATCGCTATCAACATCAAACACGACACAGCGGCAAAGCCTCAAACATAAACAAGGTCTGCGTCAGGCTCAACAAATTAGGAACCTGCACGTTTGTTTAGAGGAGCACGGGGGGTGAGTACAACGACAGTATAAACACAGCATGGCATGCCTTAACGATGGCAAACCTCAGGCGCGTCTCTCCAGCAACTATCATCCTGCTGTATACATGTATGTGGGTGTGTACGTGCGCTTTTGTGCGTCTCTGTGCGTGTGTACGAGACTACCCAAATTCTTTCATTTCCTTGTCTTGATTTCATTCGCCGTTGCCAGAAGCTTGGAAAGGACAGATAAGCGTATTGTCTCCTCTCATTACACGACAAACATTAAACAGCTGACAATAAACAATACAAGACAGACACTAAACAACAGACAACGAACAATACAAGACGGACATTAAAAAGCGGACAAAAAACAATACGGGACAGACACTAAACAACAGACAACGAACAATACAAGACAGACACTAAACAACAGGCAACGAACAATACACGACAGACACTAAACAACAGGCAACGAACAATACAAGACAGACACTAAACAACAGGCAACGAACAATACACGACAGACATTAAACAGCTGACAAAAAACAATAC